ACAGAGCATTCCACCAGATTGGAGCCGCAGCCGAGAAGGCCCTGGCTCTAGTTAAGGCCAGCCTAACCTCTCTGAGGCCTGGGACCTTGAGGATGTTTTTATTTACAGACCGTAGGTTTCTCTGTGGGGCATACCAGGAGAGGCGGTCCCGTAGGTACGAGGGTCCTAGGCCGTATAGGGCTTTAAAGGTTAAAACCAGCACCTTAAACTTGATCCTATACTCCACCGGGAGCCAGTGCAGGTGGTATAGCACCGGGTGAATGTGATCTCGCAGCGAGGACCCCGTAAGGAGTCTCGCTGCGGCATTCTGTACCCGCTGGAGTTTCTGGGTCAGTCTCAAGGGCAGCCCCACGTAGAGCGAGTTACAATAATCCAGTCTGGAGGTGACCGTCGCATGGATCACAGTGGCTAGGTCAGGGCGAGAGAGGTAAGGGGCCAACTGCTTAGCTTGGCGGAGATGAAAGAATGCCGCCTTTGTTATAGCTGTAATCTGCGCCTCCATAGAGAGGGAGGTATCGAAGATTACACCCAGACTCTTAACGGACGGTGCTGGCACCAATTGCACCCCCGCAAGAGATGGGAGTTGTCCCCCCGATCCCATATCGTCCCGCCCCAGCCAGAGGACCTCTGTCTTCGCAGGATTTAACTTCAACCGGCTCCCACGTAACCATCCAGCCACAGCTTCCAGGCATCTGGTCAGTGTGTCTGGGGCCGAGTCAGGATGGCCATCCATCAACAGATAGAGTTGGGTGTCATCAGCATATTGATGGCAACCCAGCCCAAAACTCCGGACAAGCTGGGCGAGGGGGCGCATAAAGATGTTAAAAAGCATCGGGGAGAGAATCGCACCCTGAGGCACTCCACACACCAAGGAGTGGCGCGATGACAATTCCCCCCCAAGCGCCACCCTCTGTCCCCGACCAGAGAGAAACGAGCGCAGCCATTGAAGGACTGTGCCCTGGATCCCCACGTCGGCAAGGCGGTGGTCCAGGAGTTCATGATCGACCATGTCAAAGGCTGCTGACAGATCTAGAAGAATCAGCAGCCCCGACCCACCTCGATCCAGCTGCCTGCGGAGATCATCTGTTAGGGCGACCAGAGCCGTCTCGGTCCCATGACCAGCGCGGAAGCCGGACTGGAATGGATCCAGAGCAGATGTTTCATCCAGAAACCTACCAAGCTGTTCAGCAACCGCTCTCTCAATCACCTTACCCAGGAATGGAAGATTCGAGACCGGGCGGTAATTGGATAGATCTAAGGGATCTAATGATGTTTTCTTTAAGAGCGGACGCACCACCGCCTCCTTCAGTTCCCCTGGGAATGTCCCGGTGCCAAGGGACAAGTTGATGATATCCCCCAGGGGGCCCCGCACCTTGTCTGGACATGCTCTAATCAGCCATGACGGGCACGGGTCAAGAGGACAGGTGGTGGGCTTTCCAGCTTGGAGGAATCTGTCCACATCGGCTGGAGATATCCGGTCAAAGTGGTCCAATACTGGACCCGAGGACAGTCGAGGGGCCTCCAGTTCCTTTATTGTATCGAAATTGGCGGGGAGGTCATGGCGGAGCAACAGGACCTTCTCCGCAAAAAAGCTCGCAAATGCCTCACAGCTGTGTGTCCAATTGTTATTTAAATTTGGCTGTCCTTCGAGGGACGTTAAAGATCGAATTATACTAAATAATTGCGCCGGGCGAGAGCTAGCGGATGCAATGGAGGCCGAGAAGTAGGACTTCTTAGCGGCCTTCACTGCCATCTCATAGGTTTTCATAAAAACTCTATAGGATGTTCTTGAAGCTCCGTCAAAATAGGCTAATAAAAATGATGCTACACGTAATCATTTAGGTTTATGTATTCCCTTTCATTGAAGCTATTATAGTGATAAATATCAGTTATGGGTTTTTTAAATTATTATTGATCCTCTAAGCTGTTTTGCTTTTTTTCATTATGGGAGTTCATTTAACTTACCTACTAATACACCCTAACCAGACTTTATAGATGTGGTCTCCTTACTTCATTGTGTTTTAGATGCACAAAAACATCAGGAAGGTATTTTATTCTCCTTACACTTTGAGCATAGCTGTCAACTTTTCCCTTTTCTTGCGAGGAATCCTATTCGGAATAAGGGAATTTCCCTTTAAAAAAGGGAAACATTGACAGCTATGCTAATGAGGCCTCCCGCCACCGCTGCCCTTCCACCGTTTGGCTTCCATTCGTAGACAGGTTACATATGCTTCAGGTTACAGACACCGCTAACCCAGAAATATTGCTTCAGGTTAAGAACTTTGCTTCAGGATGAGAACAAAAATCGTGCTCTGGCGGCGCGGCAGCAGCAGCAGGAGGCCCCATTAGCTAAAGTGGTGCTTCAGGTTGAGAACAGTTTCAGGTTAAGTACGGACCTCCGGAACGAATTAAGTACTTAACCCGAGGTACCACTGTAGTAGAATTAAACTAAGTTTAAACTTTAAACTAAGTCTTCAAAAGCTGAAAGAATAAGTGGGACATGTTTTAATCTCTCAACTTCCTTTCAGCTGTATGTAATTTTCAAGGATGAAAAAAGCTAACCCCCTCCCCCGTTTCCAGGACTAACCTGAAACTCTGAAGCTCCTTTGTTGTTTTTGCTATGGATTGCTGCATATTGCTTAAGTGATCTAGTTAATATTACAGTATTGAATTGTGGTTGTTTGTATGTTATTGTATTTGTTTTGCAATACTAGTAAGAAATTGTTACCATGTTATTGTTTCGCTATATTGTTATGCAAGAGTTTTTATGTTTTATCGTTTAAATGTATTACTGCTTTCTTCATTGTATGCCACTTCAGCGTGGCTTTTGTGTGTGGAAAAGTGAACTAAAAATGAAGGAAGGCAGGAATGTGATGCAGTTACCATACACATATACATCAGTACATGCAGAGGACTATTTTGCACAATTCCATCCTTTCAAAATGCAGGGGATAAAATTAAATGAATTAAGCTTGCATCCATGTGTAAGTTTCATACTAGCTTGTGGGGGTGGGTATGCAGTACCCATTTTTCCATGAAGCTTCTTCGATTCACATATTGGTGAGCATGAGATTTGGTCCTCCAAAGAGAGCAGTGATGAACACTTGGGAGTGTTATTTCCTTGTAACAGAAAACCGGAAAGGGGAGGTGCTGCCACCTAGTGCCCTTACTGAAGAAGAGCACCATGCCTTAAATGTACAGTGGTACCTTGCCAACATAGGGTTGTATAGTTAAAGCTATGGTTTTCCCAGTAGTGATGTATGGAAGTGAGAGCTGGACCATAAAGAAGGCTGATCACCAAAGAATTGATGCTTTTGAATTATGGTGCTGGAGGGGACTCTTGAGAGTCCCATGGACTGTGAGAAGATCAAACCTCTCCATTCTGAAGGAAATCAGCCCTGAGTGCTCATTGGAAGGACAGATCGTGAAGCTGAGACTCCAATACTTTGGCCACCTCATGAGAAGAAAAGACTCCCTGGAAAAGTCCCTGATGTTGGGAAAGATGGAGGGCACAAGGAGAAGGGGACGCCAGAGGACGAGATGGTTGGACAGTGTTCTCGAAGCCACAAACATGAGTCTGACCAAACTGCGGGAGGCAGTGGAAGACAGGAGTGCCTGGCGTGCTCTGGTCCATGGGGTCACGAAGAGTCGGACATGACTGAACGACTAAACAAACAAAACCTCGGGTTACATACGCTTCAGGTTACAGACTCCGCTAACCCAGAAATAGTACCTCGGGTTAAGAACTTTGCTTCAGGATGAGAACAGAAATTCTGCTCTGGCGGCACGGCAGCAGCAGGAGGCCCCATTAGCTAAAGTGGTGCTTCAGGTTAAGAACAGTTTCAGGTTAAGAACGGACCTCCGAAACGAATTAAGTACTTAACCTGAGGTACCACTGTACTGTATTCCAGGCAGGAAAAGTGACCCCTCTTGTCTCTTTATCCCCTCCCCTGCTTCTCCACCTCCCATAGCTTGCCTGTAGGAACACAGAAGTGCTGCAATATATTCATGAATTATCACACCATGACACTTTTCTTCCTGCCCTAGTTCCTTCTCTTCCCAGAGACTGCATTCATTCCCACTCTGACTTGTGAGCAGAAGAAATTGATTTCCCCCCCTCACCCCTCAACGGGAGGAAAAATGGATTTGAAAGTTGGTTTAATGAGAAAAAAGTGCAGGGGGCTTTGTTTTGTAGTCCTCCTTCTCCCACAGTGGAGAGAAAGTGATTGTCAAGGCTAGCGATTCCTCTGCTCTAAGCTGATGTTGGCAAACAGATGAGTTGCACCCTGACCCATTATCTTCATTTGCTTTGTTTTAGGTAAAAGAATGTGTTTTTGGCATTCAGTGGAATGTGCTGGGGTGGGAGAGATACACATGCCCAGATGACTTGTTTATTGAGCATTCATCCTGATTTGTTTGTGGGGAGGTTAGATGAAGTTGTGTCAAGGAAATGCTATCCCATCTTTTACAGTGCATCTTCCTATTACTTTTCTTATTGGAAAAAAGCCCAGTCCTTTGGGGAAGCAGGCTTCTTGTGCAAGACCTGCCAGTCAACTGGAACTGCACCACTCGAATTTGTGACTGAATGCCACCTAAAAGCACCAACGTTCTGGAAATGCAGAGAGAGAACACTCCACTTTTGAAGCGCCTATAGAAGAGATTGGAATTTTGAACTGGGCCAGGAGTCTGGAATCAAAATGAATCCCCACCTCAAATTAAGGAGGAGTAAAATGGATGCTATTGTACTTGCACATTATATAAATTGCCTCTTGTCCACTTAAAACTTTTACACAAGCAGAGGTTTGATCATTTTTCTGCTGAAACCATTAAGGGGGAAACTACAATTCATTCTCAGGCATGTAATATACCTTTTTTTTTTTACACTTAGTTTGTATCTGGTTGGAAGAAACCATCTAATGTAAAGTAGCCTATGCTGCTTACCCATACACAAGAATAAACATTGCCCTCCTAAAGTTTGTTTCAAACAGAGACCACCACCATTCATGCCAGTCACTGCTTTTAATATTTCATCCAGCATACTTTTAAAATAGTACAATAAATTCCATCAACACTGGCAAGACATTGTGTTAATACTAACATCAAAAATGTTCTTCAGTCACAATGTAATCCAGAATCATTTTCCAAATGTAGAAATATAATTTGGCAGTTTTCCTAGGCATACGACTTTATTGCACTTTATTGGAATTATTTTTTTAAAAATCTATTTTTACAAGATCAGTGTACATTGGCTGATCTTAATACTATTTTGTTCTGCTTAATACCACCAAGAAACATGCCACAGTTATTAAACCTGTTTAATTAAAAAAAAATATTACACTGCATAATATGTTTGTGTAAATATGCATGTACTTCCATGGGGCAAAAGAATCCTCCTTTGTCCTGGTTAAATCTATCAATAAAACTATTTGGGTTGTATCCAACTAAATCATTATGTGCACAGAATGACTTCTGTTGGCACAACAGAACTCCCCTCCTCCTCCCCCAGGTGTCTCCTAAATCTGGAGATTTAGGGTGTGCATGTGAGAAAACAGGGAGGGAAGATTCTGTTGCACTCACAGTGTGTGTTCCTCACATGCAGTGATTTATCTGGATACAACTCTGTGCTGCAGAATGTTATTCCATGTACACCACTCATGAATACCTAGTTTCCCCCAAAACATGGAGGCTACACAAAACGGATCAAAAAACTAAAGAGAAGAGCTACTGGAAAGTTTCAGATTTTTGTTTTAAAATTCAAGCACTTTAAAAAGGGGGCCAAAATTGTTCTTTTCTATGATCTCTGTGGCTGAGAAACACCATATCTTGCAATTCATTCAAGAACGATGTTTAACTGAAGTGCATATTTCATTTCTTCTCCCACAGAATTATTGCCATTATTTTTTTCAGAATTCACCAGGAAAACCAGGTCAGTGCAACCTAAGTCAAAGTCCGATGCCTCTTTACTGGAAGGCAAATCCCTAGTTAACTCAGTGGGACTTACTTCTAAGTAGAAGTGATACAACCAGGCTGCTAGATCATTTTAAAAAGATTGCATCTAGAGTAGCACAATTTCACAAGTCAGAGTTGCAACTAGCCTGTACTATCCTTTGATTGTACAGCAAAATTGCCCCTAACTGCTTTGAAATGCAAATGCAGTTCCCTGTGGCCACCAGGTCACAGGAGCAGTCTGTCACATCACTCCTGTTTAAAGGCAAATGATTTGTTACACTATCATTTTCCAAACTAGTGCTGATGTGTGTCAACAATGGGGAAAGTGCAAGGTCTAAGAAAGGAGCACAAGGTATTTGGCAATACAGAACGCAATAGAGGCAAAAAGGTTGTTTAAAAACAATACCTAAATCACACTTTCCCCAGTGTTTCCAATCTCTCTGCATTCAGGTGCTCATTTCCACATGAAATAGCTGTGCTGAAGGAATTTCCCAATATAATTTCAAAAAATTGGGAGCATGGGTGAGTAACCTGTGGCTCTGCATGTGTGGGCGATATCCAACTCCCAGCAGCCCCAGCCAGCAGCACCAATGGTCAAGGATGATGGTAACTGTAGTCCAGCAACATCTGGCAAACCAAGCATTAGCCACCCTTGTTCTAGAGCAGTAGTTCCCCAACTTGGTCTCCAGCTGCTTTTGGACCACAATTCCCATCATCCCTGACTACTGGTCTTGCTAGCTAGGGATGATGGGAGTTGTAGCCCCAAACCGGCTGGAGACCCAAGCTGGGGAAACACTGGTATAGAGTACACAGTCAGCTTAGTTCATCTGGGGCTTCAGCCAGGCTTGTTGACCTTCTCAGTATTGTCCCATATGAGCTGAGAGTGAAATTTACAATATACCAGATGCTTTCATTCTTGCTGTAGGGAAGACTGGTAGTGCTTGCTAAGCTGCCTTTCAGGAAAGCTTGTCTCCTGTTATTGATCCTTTCACTGAGAAAGTCATGATAAGCTTCTAAGCAACCCCAGGTCTTCCCGGAAAACAGCTTGAAAACCACAGACTTTACTCTGCAAATCCCACTGTTGGTGGGTCTTTCAAAGCAAAACGTTCAGATCAAGCATTAGATCTCCTTCTCCTTTCAGTTCAAAGATGAACATCACCTGCAGCTAAACAAGACTCGGCTGTATGGCATGTTTCAATTCTATGTTGTGTCTAACACATCTAGACAATAGTTATCATATAAAGTTACTACCACATTGGTAGGACAACACTCACTTGATTGTGTATTATTTTGAACATGGACAAAGGCCAGGGTCTATGCTGGCTAACAATTTTGCTGAGTACAGAGGTAGATCTATTGATACCAGTACAAAGGGGTCTTCACTGTGACATTAAAATTGGTTTACCATACATGAAAAGCAGTAGCAATGAAATAGGTATGTCAGGCATACTGAAATTACAGTGAAATGTTGATGATTGGTGAACAGAGTATTAGAACCTGGGTTCAAATCTTAACTCAGACATAGTCTTGCCAGGTGGCTTTTGGGGGGCGGGCAGAAAGGTTTGGTCTGCCCTGGTTTCCAGAAATAATAGCAGCCTACCCCTCACAGGATCACACTATAAATAAGGATTGCAAAACATAATCAATAAGCAGTGGATTAAAAGTGCCACAAAACAATGTCTGTGCTTCTTAAAACAGTTGACCAACAACCACCAATATTATAAAGTGACACAACTCATTTGGGGTGGAAAATAGGGCACTCTTGCCATTGTTTTTAGCAGCATAGTGTTTTCATGTGACTGGACTTAAAATATTGTATCAAGAATGTGATTGTCAGATATGAAAAAATAAGGCTAGGAAATAGAGAACTAATACACCCCCAGCTCTGGGGGAAACATGTCAGTTAAGGCAAATGAAACTCATGAATGTAATGCAGAAACCCAGTTTCTTGATTTCCCCAAGAATTTTCCCCAATTCTTGATTTCCCCAAGAATTTGGCAACTGCCACTAATTAAGCAGCACAAATTAAGTTTGGCAACCATTAGGATCCTGCCCGACGCTGCAGTATGCCAGGCACCATGACTAACAGTGAATTCACACGTTGAACAGGGTGGTTTTATCTGCACCCAGAGAGTTAGCATAGTATACTAACTTTATATGCACACGTTTTAACATGTGACACATTTAAAATGCAACCCCTAATGAGAGGACTGCACCATGTACCCTGCGCAACACTTGGATAGGCTCCAATGCAATTTGGAGGAATTTGGTGAGTTTGCCCCATCTGTGGGAACTTTGCACACTATAAGAGGCTATGTTTTCTGTGATTACCAGTTTCCTTTCACTGTATTAGTTAGGTGATTTCAGAAGTGATGGGGGAAGATAGCTTTCCTTTGCTCTACATCATTCAAGTTCCCCCACCCATCACACTTCTCCCACCCATCCCCAAATACATGTTACATAACTTTGATAAGGCAACTTATGAACCCAGTATTAAAATGCAAACCACACATTCACACTCTGGGCCTTTGAGGAAAGGAATCTGATGGAGAATTACCACCTGAACTGTAGGTATAAATATAATAGCAAAGATGAACTTGCTCTTTGCTTTCCTGTAAGGTAGGGTTGCCATATTTCAAGAGGTAAAAATTCAGACACAAAAAGTTGTTGAGCTTTTTAAGGGTTGAAGCCAGAGCCTGGGTCGTCCACACCGGAGCCTGAACAAGAGCACATTTTTAAAAAACAAACAAACAAAAAAATAATCCAGGACATTTTCTTTAAAATGTAAAATCCCCCCAGATGGGCATGGAGGACCCCCCCAAAAGAGGACATGTCCTGGAATTCCAAGACGTATGGCAACCCTACTGCAGGGCAAAATTGAGAAAGGCAGCAAATCTAAAATAGCATTCTGTGATCTCCTTCTGTCTGCAACATTTTCCAAAGGAATCTTATCTTTAGCTTCTTGAGAGTAGTTAATGGGAACTGTTTTAAATATTGGCAGCAGAAAAACAAAGTGGACATGGAAGTAATGGCATCGACAGCAATTTGAGGCCATAATTAGGAAAATTATATTGCAATGCTTAAATAACCTCAGTGCTAAAAAAAAAAAAGTGTAAAATTGAAATAATACACTAGGACCGAGTTGTCTTCAACAAGGCTTTCTCACAATTTAAAATAAGTTCACCTAATTGTCATTGAGGGATATTTTGCCTTCTACAAATTATAACCCTTTGTTAAAATACACACGCTCCAATTCAGGGTTGCTCTTTTGGATCTTGGCTTGTAATTCTGGCTCCAGACGAGTTACAGACATGGAACTGAGCAAAAGAAAAATAGAAGAGACGTCACATACAACCCATGATCAAATTTCATACATGCAAGTGGTGAAGCTTTATGATGATGATTTTTTTAAAAAAATTGTATCAAATATGGTTTTGTACTAAGGGTACTTCATTATCAATTCTCAAAGTGTTTTCTTGCACTTCAAATAGTCACTGTTCAACACTGTTCACACTGTTCTGTGAGCCACAGAAGAAGATTTTCAAGTTTTTGCTTAGCTGTTTTGCTTGGCTAAAGTTAACTGTTGAGGTATGTTAATGTGTCAGCCAGGAAAATGCACTTTCCATGAACCATTAAGCTTTCACTTATAAATTACCAGTAAACTTGGCCTAACAGTTCGTGTATCACCAACAGGTCTTTAAAACCGATTGCTAACATTTTAATTGCATTCACTCTTAATAATAAAAAACAGTTTAGCATGTGTGAAAACAAAGGCATGCAGTTAAAATCAAAAACTGTGTCACAGAACTCTTTAACATGTCAACACCAGAGAATACCCACCTAAGCGTGATAAATTCTGATCCCTTTCAAGCTAAGCCTGGAACTGCTTTGGCTATATGCAACTCATAGGCCTTTTCGAAGCCAAGAGGGGAAATAATGTTAAATCAAACTGCTTTGACTTAAATCAGCATTCATGTGCCAGAAGAGAAGCAGCAGGGGGATTTCTGGTTCCACGAAAGAACCTTGATCAATCCATGAAATGAAGTTTATATTTATTGATCCCAGGAAATGGGAGTCAAACTTTGTTTATGTAGCTTCCTTTAGAGCTCAATGCAGAAGCAAACATATCCCTTATACAAGGTGGCACAAAGGACCACAGTGTTGCAACAGGGGAACACCAAAGCTGTTCATCTTGAACAGGAGGACAGTTCCAGGTGCCTCTGTTAAGGTTTCCCCCCATGAGCCTATACTGGCTTGCAGGATAAAGCACTTCAGTGTGAAGAAGCTCTTAGTGAATCTATGGCATCCTTCCCCACAGCAGCCCATTAGTAATCTGGCTGAATGACTGTAGAGCATAACCCCTGTGGGTAGCTATAGAAAACAACCAAGAAAATGCCTGTGGTGATGAGAAAGAAGGCAGGAAGATTGCTGCGCTTCCTCTCCTGGGCTTCCTCTGGGTGGTGAAGAGGGAGTGATGATTATATAAGCAACACCACCAACCACTAGGTGGTGGTGTTCCCTGCACGTAGTCCTTAGTTAAGGTTTTATGTATTGTCTGTTGTTGCATTGTCTTGGATCTGTTTCTCTAAAGAACAGACCTGTGTTGGAGGTCTGTGCTGTTGATTTAACTGGCAGTATTTTATTCTAAGCCTGTACGGCAGTAATCAGGGGTGAGTTTGAGACCACCAATCTACATAGGAGCAAGGTAACCCTCCGCTTAAAGTCCCACTACTAAGTAAAAGGAGTTGAAGAGGCTTCTCATTGGCTGGGAAACAGCAGCATCATCTTCCCCACATAGTCATGAATGAGAAAGTGTTTCAAGACAGAATCAGGGCTTTTCCCCCTAGCTGGAACTCAGTTCCAGGTGGGCGCCATTGCCATTATAAGAGAACAGGGTGGGTGTTCATGGTGAGTTCTGGCACTGCTTTTTCTAGAAAAATAGCACTGTTAGTAACTACAAGTGAATGGGGTGAAGGCGAGGAAAATGAACCTGAGAAAGATCTAATCTTATTATGCCAGGCAGGATTAGAACAGAAATGCTACCTAACCTGTTTCCTCAGAGCTAGGCAAGAGCAGACTTTGGGCTGGGAACCTATCCTAAGAATAAGGTCATTTTGAAAATTTCTTACTTCCTTAAATTTCTTACTTACTTTAAAAAAAGAAGGGGGGTTATGTTCTGACTTCTGGAATGTCTCTCTCTAAATGATGATGACACTTTGTTTTCTAATTTTTTTGCAATGTGCTCAGCATAATCTTACCTCTCACCATAGCCCAAAGTAATATTATTTTTTTTTAATAAAAAACACACATTACCTTTTTTGTGGAAATAATGCACAGCACAGAGGTGTTGCGAACACCAAACTGGAAAAGACAAACATTAAGTTAGGTTATTTGGGGTAACTGTCCTCAAAGTACGAACTGGCCTCTTTCAAATGTGCAGCACCTTAAAATCCTAACTCTGGACGTCAATATTAAAAGCACAGATATTGCAGAAAAAGATTTAATGGGCTAAAGTCCACTTCCTCAAATGCATGGAACTCCCCCTTGTTTCTTTCCTTTGTTCCTGCATCACTTTATTTATGTGCTACATTCAATTTATTTACTATTCAACAGAGCTGATAGTAATGAACACGGTTCTGATATGGGAGGCTTGAAAAGGAACCACAGGGAGACTTGTGAAGGGTTCTGTGAGTCTCCTCTCTACCCAGTTTGAGTTCCAAAACTTGGAGGTTTAAATGAGGAGCAGGAGAAGGCTCACAAAGCCTTTTCCAAGTCCTACCATATTGGGGACTTTATTTATTTTTATTTTTTTTAATAAAATTTTTATTAAATTTTCACAATAAACAGACTTACATAAACAAAAAGGACAGAATCACAAACAATACTACAATACAAAAATACAAAACATAACAAAAAACAAAAAATCCCTCTTTCTTAGTTTCTCATTTTCAAATAGCTTATTTTCCTGACTTCCTCACGTCCCCCGTTCTTGTATCCCTTTTTAAAAGTTAATTCAGCAAATTCAAAACCTGTTAATTTGTCTATTTGTTATTCCAATCTTACATTTTGCTTTGTTGCTAGAGCCCCTAAGGTTCATTTCAATATTGGGGACTTTAAAGGAAAGGCAGGAGACAGCCCTATGCTCTCATTTGAGCCCCTGGAGAAGACGATGTCTTAAACCTTATTGAAGTAGCTTGTGTGTGCAAGCTGTTTCCATGGGTGCTTTTGCACAGGCCAGTAATCCCCACACAGCTGATGAAAGTCTGTCCTCCCGCCTATCAGCTGACGACCCCTTGGTGGGCCAGGATTGGCCTGTGGACTAGAAGTTCCCCGACTCCGTACTATGACATGCCTCCCCCCCCCGGGCTTATATGGCCCCCTGTTCCTCCCCTTTGGTTTGCTCTGTATCTTCCCCAACCAAGACGAAGTCAGCCTATTCCAAAGGCTCAATGTCTGCTTTTGTTTGCATTGCTCCCCCAGTAGCTGCTTTGGGAAAAGGTTATCGTAGCACTTTCTCCAAGTTATTTGCCTTAGTTTTAAAGAGAGGCTTTGACGGCCTCATTGTGCCAAAGTCAAAACTACACATTATGCTTAATGTGTAGCATGCAGGTATTGTCTCTGCTGAACCAGATCAAAGGCCCATCTAGTCCAGCATTTGGTCCTCAAAGACACCAATCAGATGCCTCTGTGAAGCCACTAGCTTTTCTTTAATTGATTACAGCTGGACCCGGTGGGTTGTTTTTGGATGGGCTCATAGGTGGGGAGGGGAAGGACAATCCTATTCTTTCCACATGTTGTGATCTCAATAGCAATTGCCCCTCCCACCATTGCTGAAATTAAAGAAAACACAAGATACACAGCCATACTGCACACATGAAGCACAATGTGCAATTCCCCACCTAGGGTTCAAAATCAGCATCTTTCACAGAAGGAAACATTGTTATGATAACCACAACCATATCACCATGAATTCATTTTTATTTATTTTTTTACTCACCAGAAGCCAACTAAACCCACTTGAATGGGGGCACTCATCCATGGAAACCTCTGTGTTTTAAAAGAAATGTTACATGATGAAATGAGATATTTCCTCTCACCACATATGTACTATTCACATTCTTGGGTCCAAACCTTTTCAAAACACATGGACTCTGAAAATTTATGCAAAATGGAGAAGGCGTGCTTGAACACACACCTAACTACTATGGGTTCTGCAAACATTCCCAGCCTTAGAGTGAGGTGTTATAGCCTCCAAGGTCAATAGCCACCCGCACACCCCGACTCTGCTGACTTGTCCGTGTGTTCTTAGCAGCAGGACAGATTTCTAAAAGTAGGACAGTATTATAATATCAGACACACAGAGTGTTTAAGGGATGAAAACAGTCCTTTCCTCCAATTAGATGAATTACTCTTGTAAAAATCCACTGAAAGCACTGCCATTGCTATAGGGAAAAAGGCTTGGGTCTTCAGGTTTTGAAAATGTTCATTGCTGTTATCCATTAAAACCCTGGGATGCATTGTAGTAACCCTGGGATGCGTTTTAGTAAAAATACACACATCAGGAAGTACTGAGGAATCACTCAGACAATGTGAGCAATGTTAGGAGTTTCTACAACATGTGATCCCATATTGCATTTGTTAAATAATGCAAAAGGATTAATTCCAATATGTGTTTTAAAGTTGCACCGAATTTCTTTTTTAAAGAATTGCAAGTGCCACTTAAAGAGAAATTGGAGCAGGGGTTTCATTCTGGGATATTTCTCTATAAGCAAGAGTAATACAATCCTACCCCTACCCTCACTTTGAAAAAAAAAACACTTATAAAAACTGATAGACAAGCCTCCCCTTTTCCCATTATCAACTGTTGTTCCTGTGTAAGTAAAGAACAGCTATTCTTTGGGAATTACGGTATTATAACATCTAAAAAAACCCAATGCATTGTTTCACAGCATACAAATCCTATGCACAGTTTATTGTCACATCATCAAGCAAAACTAGTCTTGCAACAATTAATCATTTAAGGGATATTATAAAGATGCTGTGTTAAGACTTCTACCAGAAAGTAAATGCTAACGAAACCAAAATAACAGCAAGCCTCTTCTATATTAGATTTGCTTTTATTACTAAAAACAATCATTCCCTTTCATATATCGTATCATAAACAGGATGAAGATTAAAAGTAAAATAGTTAATTGGTTAGAATTACAATGGATGTGTGCAATTATGATTTTCAAGTAAAAAGCATTCCATAAACTGCTATTATATTAAGGATCAGAATGAAGTGTTAAATAGTTGGAAATAAGCAGCAAATGTGGAACTATAAACTTTGTGCTTTAGATATGAGGTAAAGAGGCAGGGAAAATATTCTGTGCATATTTACTCAGAAGTAAGACCCACTATGTTCACTGGGGCTTACTCCTAGGGAACTAATGTAGATGAACAAGCCTTTAGGAGGATCGGAGTGACTATATTGAACTGCTCATCAGTTCCCAGATTAGACATATGCAAGGATCTTTAACAATGCCTAAATGTATCACACCCACAGATGTGGACAACTAAGGTTACTGGGGCTTTCTCTGCGCTGCAGGAATCCAAAGCCACAAAGTAGCTGCCTGTGAATCAGGTAGTGAAGGAACAAATGGCAGCTTTAAACTTCAAGGATGGTGCGGCATGTAATGATGCAGCACTTACATCTCTCTGGAAACTGAGCAGATGGCAGAACTCCAGCCAGCCAAAGGACTCCTATTTACTTCTTATTGCACCACCGTTTATGATCAACCAGACACCAACAGATGCCACCCAATGGAATCATAACAAAAGGGCAGAGGATAGAACTCTGCACTGGAGATGTTCTAACACTGAATGCAAGATGACATTGTATTTCTCAAAGCTGTTGTTCGGAAATATTTTGTTTTTTGTACGATGAACAGTTTTGTGTAGGGGTGCCTCTTGAACACAAGGGCATTCTGAAGTTTGTTTTAAGTTTGTTGTTACACAGAATCATGAGAAACAATAGCAGGCAGTCTCCTTTTCTAAGCATTTGCATTGGGGCTCATAGCACCATTCAAGTCAGCTACTGTTTTCAGATAGAGCAGGCACACAAAAACATTCCTATATGTGGGAACAAGAGGAGCCACTGATGCGCAACAGACACATGGATGTTTAAATGTATTTCTCAGATGCATGGGGCCGGCTTATACTAGCCGGAAACCTTTTCTCAAATTTGGTGAGCTTGTAGCACTTAGCTTCCCACAACTGTGAGAACTGGAGCATCTGCGTGGGTGCTGTAAATGGGGCCAAAATTACTCTGTCTTAAGACTCAGGTCTAACCAGGAACATTGGCACCTGTCTTTTAGCAAATTGGATCACATTGCCTATGCTGATTGGTTGTAACTTTCATGGACTCCAGACAGTAGTCTCTTTCAGTGCCAGATTGCTGGAGATTGAATCTGGGACATTCTTCATGAAAACAGACACTCTGCAGCTGAACTATGGCCCCACCTCCTATTACTACCTTTAATGAGATAAAGTCAGCATGAAATGGCTTTTCTGCTTGTTCCTTCCTCTGTTCCCCAGCTGAGGACAAAAGCAAGTGCTGCCAGGCTGCTGCTCAAATTAAAATCACATATTTTTCTCAAACTCCCAGTGATTAAAATGCCTGGCATGTTTGGGGCTGCTGTCATTTCTTTCTACTATGCTGCAGCCAACTCCTCATGCTCCATATTCACCACTGCTCTCAGGTGAACTGTCTGCTTTTATTTGGGGAGTCACATTTGGAAAGTTTCAGCCATTTCCATAGAATCATAGAGTTGGAATAGACCACAAGGGCCATCGAGTCCAACCCCCTGCCAAGCAGGAAACGACTCAGCAAGATTCACTGCAGTTACATTTAAGGCATTATGTAGTGAAGAACAGCTAGAAGGACAGCCACCTGGAGCTACAAACATATAACACTGGTCTTGAAAGACCTACATTGGCTCCCAGTACGTTTCCGAGCACAATTCAAAGGGTTGGTGCTGACCTTTAAAGCCCTAAATGGCCTCGGCGCAGTATACCTGAAGGAGCGTCTCCATCCCCATCATCCAACCCGGACACTTAGGTCCAGCTCCAAGGGCCTTTTGGCAGTTCCCTCACTGCGAGAAGTGAAGTTGCAGGGAACCAGGCAGAGGGCCTTCTTGGTAGTGGCACCTGCCCTGTGGAACGCCCTCTCATCAGATGTCAAGGAAATAAACAACTATCTGACTTTTAGAAGACATCTGAAGGCAGCCCTGTTTAGGGAAGCTTTTAATGTTTGAAGTTTTACTGTGTTTTTAATATTCTGTGGGGAGCCAGCCAGAGTGGCTGGGGAAATTCAGCCAGATGGATGGGGTATAAATAATAAATTACTATTATTATTATTATTAGAAAGGAAGGCAATGTTTCTGTGGCAGGATTCAAAGAAATGAAGACCTTCACACAATCCCTCTTTTCCTTCTCTTTGTCTGAACCTTTAAAGTAAAGATTTTTTTTCTTAGGCTGAGTGAACAAGAGCTATTATCTGGAATGGTGGGGAAATGCTAAAGCCTGTATGCATTAATAAAGCAGGTTGTAGATGGTGTCAGAGTAGTATAAGAAATGAACTTTAAGCTGACATGCCGAAGCTGCTTGTTTTATTTAAAAAAGAAGTGCAGTTCATTGCTCAATGGATCCAGGGCTGATCAATAGCAAGTCTTATAATTAACTAGCTGTAGAGCAATGATTCACCTGAGCTCACAGTCCAGGAGGCAGAGAGGGGGCGGGGAGGAGCAGGAAAACATAAAGGGAGTCATGATGGTGTCAAAGAACACTGAACAGTCACTGAAGGGCTCTTTCAGATGTGCTGATCTGAAAAAATTACAACATCTTCATGTTGATTAAACTACATACACGCCAATGGAGACTTTGCTTGACATATGACATTCTCTTTTCATTAGCCATTGCAAGAAATATAACTGAACCAACAGAAATGCTCACCACGTAACTTGTCACAGTCAAATGCAAACAATGTTAACTCCAAAATGTGTAATATGCTTAAGCAAACATCCCTGCTTCTTCTAACGTATTCAAGTCCCCCACTGGAATTCTATAGAGAATATTTCATATTTGCTGATGGATGGGGATAAATACACTTACACATTATGTTTCCATAAAAAAAATAAAGAAATCCTTCCAGTAGCACTTTAGAGACCAACTAAGTTTGTTACTGGTATGAGCTTTCATGTGCATGCACACTTCTTCAGATCCAAGGAATTTTTGTATTTTGTTTCGACTACGGCAGACCAACACGGCTACCTACCTGTAACTAGAATTATGTTTCCATGTTTGCTTTAGCAGCCCAGAGGATTAGACAACATTTCATTGTGCAACACAGCGCCCAGTGTGCTGGGGGCTACGTGTGCTAGAATGTACCTTAATACATTTGTGAAGTCCAGTGGATTTTAGCAAATAAATATAAGTGACTGACTGACTCTTCGAACATGATGCATTGAATTCCACATAACCTATTTCAGCTAACACTTCATATCAATCTAGGAGACTTGGATTAAACTCTTTCTAAGTCACTAGGTAACCTCAGGCAAGTAGCTATCTGTCAGTGGGGAGAATGATGGCCTATATAGCATAACTGATATTTAATGAACTATGTCCCTAGAAAATTATTCTCACTTCAATGTTGCAAGAAGAAAATTATGGGAGGGATTCACTCTTGAACCCTGTCAGCAGAAGCCCTGTGCTTGCCCTAGGTGAGATTAATATCTTGCAATGACACTGAATTCCCTGACATACAGAATGTTACATGAAAAGAGCTGCTTCTTGTGGAATTGCATAGGTCGGCAACAATGTGTGGTGCTGGTAATATTCTTGATGTTTAGTCCATCAGCAAGAGCATAAGAAGCATGGAGGCCACTTTAACAATCACTCCCTGTTGCCACTTCAAGCCACTTATATGCACAAAAATCCAAGAAGAGCCCTGGTGGATCAGGCCCATCTAGGCCAGCATCCTGTTCTCACAGTGGCCAACCAGATGCCTGTGGAAAGCCTGCAAGTTGGACATGAGCGCAGGAGCATCTGCCCATCTTTGATTCCCAGCAAGTGGTATTCAGAGGCATACTGTATTTCAGGCAGGTGACTCCAGGCCACCACAAACCTCTCAAATAAGCAAATTTGCAGCAGGATGGAAAAAGTCATCTGACTATGTAGGGAGCTGCCACGCAGTACTCGATTTATGCATGACAGCCGTTGCCATACGGATCAATTTTAACTTAAAGCAGCTTCCATGTGACAGCATACTTCATGTACATCAGCTTCGAATTAGGTCCTTGCAGGAGATGTCATGCATCTGAAAATAACCCTGACTTTTAGCATAAACGCTTTAATCAACATATATCTCCTTGTTACAATTTATGAAAGCAATGGTGTGGATCTAATTTGCACAATGGAATGAAGAGCTTTCACATCCCCCCCGCCCTGTTTTATTCACAAACAAAAATGTTCCCTAGAGCAGGACAGGGAATAACAGCGGATTTTCTCTTTTTCTTTTTATTGCTCTGTGAACGGCTATTTCATTAAAACTGATCTCTTAATTGTATTGGCTGTAAGAAGGAAATTAATATATCTTCAGGAGCTTAGGCTTACCTTTAAAAATGCCTTCTTTTCCAAAGAATTCATTATGAACGGGGGAATGGCTACAAAAACAAAGAAAGAAATGCTTAAACCTTAGCAAACAATGTATACAGAGCAGTTTCTAATAACAGGTATGCCTCAATGAGTTTACTGGTAGTGTATGGCTTTCCTGAGGCCCTCTATTAATATGCATAAATAAATTAGCAATGTATGGAGATGAAAAAGGGTTATAAAGAGATGATGGAGAATGTGCACATGAAGTTTCACAAGAGATATAACTAATTAAAAAAAGATTTTAATAATATTTGATGGTCAGCTAGAGCAATGGCTACAATATCAACAGTGCATTGCAGATACATTGTAAAAATAAATAAAACTTCGCCATGTTTCTCTACAGTATCTTTTATGTGTGAGCCATTAGCTGTTCAAATCTAATGTACTGAAGCCAAAGTTCTTAGAAGAGCATGATTTCAATCACTACTTATGCTTAGCTGAAGGTGAACTAACCCATGCCAGGAGCAGCCATAAGGATCCGTGAGATAACCACCTGCACAATGGCCTGTTGGGCAGCTTTGGACGATTCACCCAATCGGTTTCCATTTTCGTCTGTAATGGGAATACCATACTTTAGTTCCCTGTTGGGTTTTAAAAAAAGAAAAGAAAAAAGCTGAACAATTGCGAAAGCTTACTCTTTAAGGACACTATATGCTCAAATTGTTTATGTTCCTCAAGTTACGTTCCAGAACATTTGTTAATCATTTGTAAACTTCAACAACAGCCCTGCTTTAGTTTTTTATTACATTCATAAGAGCTGGTTTGCACATGATGCTCAAGCAATGCTATGGCTTTGTGCAAATGCTAGAGATTGGATTGTGGCCACTGTGCTCCAGTCCTCCTGCTGCTGCACCACTGAAAGCTAAGCCATGGGTTGGTTTAGCACAGGGTGGGGAATCTTTGCTGGCTGGTGGGCCAGATCTCTATCTCCCCCACCCCTGCCTGGCCAAAGTGTTGAAGGCACACTCTGATCCACCCATCAGCTGTTGTGTGGGTAGGAACTTACCTTCCTGGATTCAAGGAACAACTTGGAAGTTTTAAGCTCTCGATTGCTCCTTTGAAGTCTTTTCCCTTACCTGCTCCACACCTGCTGTCATGACATCAGGTGTGGGGTGGGTAGGTGTGGCTTCCTGAAAGTGGCTTCCTCTGCAGGAGTCACATCCAATTTCAGTCAAAGCTGGAGAAGAATTCAGGACCATTTAAAGCTTGTGCCAGCTTTGAAATGGGCTTTAATGAGCCTCTGAATTTCTTTTCAGAGTCTGGCTTAGAACAAATTTTGCAGCATCCCTCCTAAGCCAAGAGGTGCTCTGTGGCACATGCTAGATTTTTATCTTACCTTTGCCTCATTAATGGGATATTTATGCAGTTAGCAGCAGCTACAGCAGCAAAAGGAACAAAACGTCCTATAAGAGGTGAGACATGCTGTGAAAAAAGAAGTAAGAGTCACCTGAAGATGGACAAACCTCACCAATCCTCAGCCACTCTAAAATATCATCTTAAGTCTTGTGGGGTGCTACTATTTTGTGAAAAGCTGATCTTAAGAATCTATACCAACACATCAGAGAATATATGTGCCTGAAGCTAGAATCTTTTGAGAACACTGGTATAGATTGTACCTTTTAAAAAATGAGAGTGGTTTCTCAACTGTATTACAGTGACATAAAAATATTTTAGAATAGAAATATTGGGTTATAATCACTCCCAGAAATCAGGTTAATTTTTTGATGAAATGCCATTTAGGGAAGCTATATGATCATTTTTTTTTTTAAAAAAAACCCTCTATCTTTCTCTTTGAAAAATGGTTGCAGTCATTCTGAGAAAGCTTTTTGAAGTGTAGCTATCTTAGGGTATGTCAGCAAACACAGCAGGGTGTCTCATGGTTTCTTGAAGATTTATTGCAGCAGAAGCTTTCCCAGGCAAGATCCTACTTCATCAGATGCACAACATGGACAGTGAAGATATGCACATGTAAAATGTTTTGGGGTTGGAGATAAAAATGACCTTTAAACACCTCTTTAAAATGTATACCAAAGCTTTATTTTTGTTTTGTTCCGCACATCACTCAGTTTTTATTTGTGATATACAATCCCATTTTGCTTTTATCTAGCTTTTAGGAAAATGTAATATTATTATATTTGTATTAGTTAATGTTGTTTCATTGTTTCTATGTAAACTGCTTAGATTTTTATTATACAAGCAGTATAAACTATTTATAAAGAAATCCAAAGTGGATTTCATGCAAGAATCAGAAACAGCACCTTATCTGAGTATCAGTTGCAAGAGACCTCGCCCTAGAAACTGAGACTATATTTTCAGTGAGGTGGTAAATTCAAGCCTGAGCTCACATAACTGAATACTCTTCCATATAAAAATATTGTTGTACAAAGCAAGCTGGAAGTTCCAGAAAATGCTAGGGAAAATGCTAGGCTAGAACACTTTCCCCTGACATCTAATTTCTGTGTGCTGACATATTCAAAGCTATAAAAATGAATCAGTACTGAACTGAAGCAAACATGATTCAATCACAAGAGACTGATAAACTCACAGATGAAAAGATTAAGTGGGCTCCTGAATGTGCAAGGTCATGTCACAATAAATGCATTGGCTTTTAAGGTGCCACAAAAACCCTTGTTACTCCTCGTGCACATGGAAATCATTAACTAAAAGTTTCCACAACAATCAAAACTCTTTCTCAAAGCAAAACGGAGGAAATGATTAAATACCTTTGTTAGTGCATTAAGTCCTAGAGCAGTTGCAACAGCACCTGTGGTGGCAGAAACATAGGCTGTTCCCAGCTGGCTAAAACAAAAATAAGAAAATTTGTGTGTGCACAATAGACATATATGTTACATTGCACAAGTTCCAATTATGTAAGCACAACTGGCATGGTACTGTAATATGTTTTCCTGGATGAAATACAAAACTGCACCAGAATATGTCAGGGCATCTAGTGGGGTTACAAACTTTCCCCTTTCCCACTTATGATGCTATGTGGCTGACTCCTAAGTGATCTATATGTTCTATATCCACAGTTGGGAGGCGGTATGCCTCAGAATGCCAGTCACAGGTATCACATGTGAGGTACTCCTCCTATTGCCTTCAGGTTCCAGCTTCTGGCTTCCCATAGGCATCTGGTTAGCCACTCTGATGGCAGGATGCTGGCCTCTGACCCCATCCAGCAGGACTTCTATGTTCTTTGGTACCGAACTGACAGTTGGGTGGTGTACACCTGTACTCTGATGAAGGACTCAGTGGAAGCATCGTGCTTAGAATGAGAGCTGAGATCTTATAGCTGAGTGGTAGAGCATGTGGTTTTTGTATGCAATGCATCCTAATCTCAGTCCTTGGTATATTCCGTTTAAAAGATCTCACTCGGAGACCCACTGTCAGCCATGCCATATGATAGTAGGTTAGACAGGCTAATGGGCTAACAATATAAAGCTGCCTCATACGTTTGACAGTTCACTACGTTTGGAAGCATGATAGAATATCTAGTGGGTTGTGGCTTCAGATATACTTGTAGACTCTTCCTCTGCAGAATGAGCCATGGCTTTCTTTTTGCAGCTATTTCCTCTGCCAACTCTACTATATGGTGAACTATGCCAGTCCATTTATCAGAGAGCAGGAGGATCTCGGTGCATGGACAGACTGTCCTTTTTCATGAAGGAGAAAAGATACAAAGGGTCCTCAAGGCACTAATTTTGGAGCTGGACCCTTAACAAAAGTCTAACAACGTTCATCATCTCGACCCCCAAACAAGGTCCCCCACCCCAATTAGGTCTAATGCCATCATAAGCTGCCAAGGAGACTGAGTAACCTTGAGCCATCTTCACCAGAGGCAGATAGATCACCTCAGAATATCTTGGGAAGTAATTCACTTCATTTCTTACATTTATATCCAGCTGAGCACCACATACACAAGGCTCTCAAGTGCTCTCCCATCCAGGCAGTGACCAGACCCAGAGGTGCTTAGCTTCAAAAAAGTTGCTTCGCTGTGTGCCTTTACACTCTGATACCGGTCAGAAACTGGTTATACCAAAAGTAACTGGAAGGATAAAGAGCAGCGGTGGGGAAGCTCAGGGCCCCCGGATATCGCTGGACTCCCACCAGCTCTAGCCAGCATGGCCAAGGATCAGAGACAAAGGAAACCACAGTCTAACAACATGTAGGTTCCTCAGCTCTGATGCAAAGACTTCCGAGCATGTAATTATGGTCGGTCTGTCTGTCTGTCTGTCTGTCTGTCTGTCTCTCTCTCTCTCTCTCTCTCTCTCTCTCTCTCTCTCTCACACACACACACACACACACACAACCTCTGAGTGTGCAGGCTTAGGATGTCAAGCGACACTGAGTGGCTGTACTGACCACCTGTCTCCTACCGGCAGTTCTGCTCCTACATTCAAGAACATCACCTTTGCTCTGCTCTTGTCACATCTGGGCAACATCTTTTGGTCTTCTACCTCAATGTTTCCCAGATGTGCTCGGCCAGATGAATAATTCTCAAGACATTTAAAAGACCCCACCAGAACCAGAAAACTTCATGGACTATAGAAGTGAAGCACACATGCCTGTTTGAAATGCTCTGATCCCATACCAGCTGCAATCCATAGTAGATGTCTAGAATGCATTAGTAGCCTAATTTAGTCATTCAAATTATGCAGATATGACCTTGGGTGATTATCTACATGCAAATAACTTGTTTTTAGTACAAGACAGAAGTAACTAGGCAGTCATGCATCTAGTAATATCTCACATATATTACTGAGGCGGTGTACGTGAAGTGCTTGGAATGCTCGCTATATGCATGTTACATATTAATGTGATTAAATTAGCATCACTTCGATTTCCCCATTATAGTTTACCTTGTGCTTACATGTCGTCACGTCAAGCCAGTCTATGAAAAACCACATTGCAAATTTAATAATAATCCAAACTAAGCAATCTGGGATCCATTATTATTACAGCTGCTGGAAGCCACTCAGAAGAAGCAGGGGACCTCTCTTGCCTTGGGCATGAATTCCTCAGAGCAGGGCAGAATACAGGGCTGTTTCAAATATGCAGGGCCTGGCTGCGGCTCAAAAACTAAACCTTACTGCCGGCTCCACAACCAATTACCACCCTCATCCCAAGCTTTAGGGAAGATGATTTAGGGCAGGGACAACTAGCCCCCATGGTTTGGGGCGCTAACCATTTTTTTCTGATTGGGCAAGGCCCCATCAATTTGATGGCTGCTATTAAAAGTGGGGGGAAGCACTAACATAGACCCAGTGCTGGGATGGCCAGAGCCCATCACTGTGAGGGAGATGCAAGCAGTCTCCTCCCCAGTCATCAGACTGATCGTTTTAGGAGCGCAGAGAGGGAGATGACCACACCCCCTCTGGTGATCACAGATAAGGTGAGTAGGGGTGAGTGTGTGCTTTCAAACATGTTGGTCTGTGTGTGTGCATGTGAGAATGTGGACTGGCGCACACACTGCTGGCACGTGGCCAAGGGTGAATGAGGCTTCTTTTCGGGGGGGGGGGCAAAACAAGTTAGCCCCTTTAGTGACTGGTCACTCCATCTGTCTTGTGAACTATTTTGGCTTTCATCAAAGATAACACTGCCTACATATCACATTACGCTAATTAGAGCATAATTTTAACTCACAGAGATTACGTGTGCAAAATATTAAAGCATTTTCTCAGGCTGTTCACACCATAGCACTGAATTTAGGTCTAAACTAGAGCAGATATTGTAATTCAAGGTTTTTGAATTTTCTGCCTGGTGTGGCTTAAATACCTTACCTGACAGTAATGGGAGCATCTCCACTCCTGTTGGTGTAATTTACGATGGCATTGAACGACTGGTTAATCCACTGCCAGAAGACCACTGCTGGAGTAGTTCTTAAAAACAAAAAGTACCATCAATTTTTTCTAAAGTGATGAGATTAAGACAATCAAATGCTGTTGGGCTGATTATTCTTCATCACACTTCCCCCAAAGATTTCTGTAAAGGATCAGCCAAATCAGTCTTTTGAACAGTTTCTTCGCAAAATGATAGCTTTCCTACATGAAATGTAGAAATGCACGGGTCTTCTTGAGGAATCTGTTCCAGTTCTGAAATAAGTTAAGATTCTATTAGATGTAGCTGTTCAGTTGCAATAATGTAAAACTTGAAGTGCTTTTCCCAGGTACAGAGCTATGTTACTTGACAAACATTTCCAGCTCAGATTTAGAGAGTCACATAGATTATTAAAATGTAAATTTAGTATCAGGTGGTTTTTATCCTGTAAGACTTGACAAAAAAGCCAGTTACTATAATTCAAGTGGGAGGATAGAGATTCAGAGCTGCCCAGAGTGGCTGTGGAAACTTAGCCAGATGGGTGGGGTATAAATAAATTATCATCATCATCATCATCATCGTTAAAGAACAAATTGGCACTTCATCTTCCCATCAGTATCTCGCATACTGAAGTTCAAGAGTTCTCAGATTGAATTTTCTCCACTTTGTTTTCTTTTGAAGGTAAATAAATAACCAAACCAATATGTGAAAAATATAAGGGAGCAGAGGAAACAAAAAATGTTCATTTTAACTGTTTTTTGAAACATTCAAAGTATACAACATCATTCACTTGGGCTGCAGCAGCACTAAAACCCTTTAGAGTACACAACCAGTGTCAACAGGACCATGGCCTTCAAAATGGATTTCTCAATTGCATATTTATTTCACTCATGTACTATCATGCATTACTTACCTATAAAAGGTCATCATGCAGCCAGTAATGGTCATGTTCATGGGCACCTGAGCAGACATGCGGCCAATTAAAACCATCTTTTCCCCAGTATCTGGATGGAAGGCTGAATCGTAGATATATTTTGCCCTCCATAGTTCATCTTCTGTTAATCCAGGGCATGGAATTCCTTGTCTTGGGGCAGATGGAAATATATGTGAATATGTAATTATAAATATGACGTTAAGATAGGTCCAAAACTTAAGTAATTATTCACATGAAAGATTGGCACATATCTTCTCTGCACACACAACTGTACAGCAGCTTAGCATAAGAACCTCTGTGTCCCTTTCCATCATCGTAACTGCTCTTTCTCATGTCAGCATAGTCACAGGAATACTGCAGGTAGGTCAATGTAAGCAGCTGGCTCACACTGAATTTTGTTCATGCAATTGTGCATTAAAGGCCAAGGCCCTAAGGAGAATAGTCACTGCTTGTTTGCAAAATTGACTTCTGGTATTCTACTCCAAAATATTTTATCAGTCCCTTACATTCCACCCCATCTTCCCTTCTTCCTCACTACTGACAACAAAGTTTAATTCCTCATTCCTAAATGTTCCTTGCAGAAGGCCTTTTCCTCTCAAGCAACCATGTTTAGGAGCACCCCACTTATTGTAGCTCTTGGCACACTGCCTGGATAGCTCAGCTGGTTAGAGTGTGGTGTTAATGATGCCAAGGTTGCAGGTTTGATCCCCGTATGGGACAGCTGCATATTACTGCATTGCAGGAGGTTGGACTTTCAGTGGTTCTCAACCTGTGGGTCCCCAGATGTTGTTTGACTACAACTACCATCATCCCTGAGCTCTGGCCTTGCTAGCTAGGGGTGATGGGAATTGTAGTTCAACAACATCTGGGGACCCACAGGTTGAGAAAGGCTGGGACTCACTAGATGATCCTCAGGGTCCCTTCCAATTCTATCGTTCTTTGATTCTATGATCTGACCACACTGTAAAAACCAAACTAACACCTGGAACATGGTGCATACCAGCTCTGATCAGCAGTTACAATTCATGACGGTGGATGCCTCTGGACTGGTGTTTTATGGTGTTCTGCCTCATATTCTTGACACAGTAATAGCGTATTGCTCTCTGGAGGGGTTTACAGCACAACAGAGGCAAGGCAGAAATAAACCAGAACATTTTTTTGTACAGAAAGTTATGGGATTTCAGCAGGAAGTGACAGGATATGACCTGATTGAAAACAAAGCACTGTCACCACCCCAACGTGTTTTCAGGCACAAACAGGATTGAAAGTGAGATTGCATATGACAGCCTCAATAGCATGAGCACAAATGAATGCACAATAAAAGGGATGTCTGGAAGGGCTGGTCATAATGCATAAATACACACCCACATCCACACACCCACGTATCACAGAGGCTGCTTCTTGCACTGTGTACATATTTCCCCCCTAACATCAGTATAGAACACCCTTTTGATTATAACATCTGTACACCATGTTTGCAAGAGCGTGTCTTAAAGAGCAGTGTTTCCCAACCGGTGTTCCGCGGCACACTAGTGTGCCGCGAGACGTTGCCTGGTGTGCCGCGGGAAAAATTGGCGGGGGGGGGGGAATAAAGGGGAAAAAAATTATTCCCCCACCGCCAGGCGTGGGGCTGGGGCGGGGGAAGCCCGAGCTTCCCCCTCCCCCAGAACGGGACCCAGAGCCATGCCGAAGCTGCGCGCAGCTTTGGCATCGCTCTGGGAGCTTGCAGGGCTGGGGGAGGAGGAAGCCCTCCGCCAGCCTCCAAACCATGTCGGGAGACAGCGGGATGGCGCGCTGCGCCTCTCCCGCTGTCCCCCGAGTTTGCAGGGCTGGCGATGGGGAGGAGCAGGCTTCTCCCCCGCCAGCCTTCCAGCCAAGTCGGGGGGCAGCGGCAAGGGCGCGCTGCGCCTCTCCCGCTGTCCCCCGAGTTTGCGGGGCTGGCGATGGGGAGGAGCAGGCTTCTCGCCCCGCCAGCCTTCCAGCCAAGTCGGGGGGGAGCGGCAAGGGCGCGCTGCGCCTCTCCCGCTGTCCCCCGAGTTTGCGGGGCTGGCGATGGGGAGGAGCAGGCTTCTCCCCCCGCCAGCCTTCCAGCCAAGTCGGGGGGCAGCGGCAAGGGCGCGCTGCGTTTCTCCGCTGTCCCGGATGGCTTTCAAAAGCCTGCCTTCAAAAGCCGTCCGGGACAGCGGAGAAACGCGCTGCCTTTCTCCGCTCTCCCGGGAAGGCAGGCAGGGGGGAGCAAAGACTTTCGCCCCCGCCCACCTTCAGAAGAGGTCCAGGACCTCTTCTGAAGGCGGGCGGGGGGCGAAAATCTTTGTCCCCCCTGCCTGCCTTCCCAGGGGCTTTTAAATCGCCCCGGACAGCGGAGAAGTCCTCCGCTGTCCCGGGCGATTTTAAAATGCCGCCCGCCAGCATTTTAAGATTGCCCCGGACAGCGGAGAAGTCCTCCGCTGTCCCGGGGTTTTTTAAAATGCTGGGGGTGGGAAGAAAAGCCCTTGTCCCCCCCCCAGCCTTCAGAAGAGGTCGGGGGACAGACTGTCCCTGGACCTGGTCTGAAGGCGGTTTCCCTAGGAACGCATTAATTGATTTTCAATGCATTCCTATGGGAAACCGTGCATCGCAAGACAAAAAACTCGCAAGACGAAGAGACTTGCGGAACGAATTAATTTCGTCTTGCGAGGCACCACTGTATCCGGAGAGGCGGCCTTCAGGCGAGTTTTAATTTTAATTTTCCTTCTCCCACTTAATGCCCCACGCTCGCCCGAGCAGCTTGCAGTCCTCGGTAACCACGGCGACCCGAGGGAGGGGAGGGAACAGGGAAGTCGAGGGCGGCGACGAGCCGCGATGACGTCAGTGGGCCGCGCCGCCTCGCCCTGGCACGGTGTGAGAGCCCCGGCTAGTGGCGCGAGCTTCAGAATAAGTGGGATCCGCGTGCGCGAGACCGAGATCGCGGGTAAGGAGCTCAGCCCTGGGCAGGAGGAAGCGGGGCCGTGCGTGCGGGCCACATCCCCACAGAGAGCGAGCCTCCCCCGGCCCACCACTCCGGGCAGGTCCACTCGCATGAGGGGGCGGCGATGGCGACGGCCGGCAGCTTGCCTGCAATGCCATCCCTCGAGCAGGCGAGGAGCCCAGAGGCTACCAGATGCGAGTCCTCTTTCCCACCCTGCTCGGGAGTCCAGAGCACTTGGTCGCATTCAGGATCTAGAGTGGGGAAGTGGGGCTTGTGTCTGGCTGGACACATTGGGCTGCCTGTGCCGCTCGACCTGCGGGGAGAAATCAGGGTGGGAGTCACGACCGTGAGGCAGGGCTGCCAAGTGTGGCAGAAGAGGACACGGCCGTCGCACCTGTCCTTAGGTAGGAGCTTCTTCCGTGTCGACCTGCTGCCCTAAAGTCTTGGCTTTTTTCTTGGCTTTTTGGCGGTTGGCACAGAAGGAAGGCAAGGGGGAGGGGAAAAAATTGAAACTTACACTTTCGTGCGTCCCTCCCGGCGTGACGCTGCGCGCTGACGTCACGGGGCTGTAATGGTGGTGTACCTCGATATTTTTTTCATGAAACAAGTGTGCCTTTGCCCAAAAAAGGTTGGGAAACACTGTTAAAGAGGAATGGGTATTTGCTGGCTCCACAACTGTGGGATTCTCTTCCCATTTAAGACTTCCTGAGATTCAGGCTGGAGACTCTTCTTGACCAGACACTACAAGAGTTGCTTTTTTTGAAGAGAGTGGGGCCTGGGTACCATTTTCTACTGCAAGTGGCTATTTTATTTTACTCTTTTTACATTATGCCTTGAGTATTCTCAACTACCTTGAGATTAAATTAGGGTGCTTTTAAAAAATAAACATTTACCTGTAATCATGCACAATTTTTCTTGCTTTTTCTAGTTGCTCATTGGACAACAAAATATTCCTAGGATCAGTGACGGTGAAGAAATGGCTCGCTCGTCCAATAAACGTACTTTGATCCCAGCGAGGCTCTTTGATATTGATGTTGAATGGTATATCGGCTGACATTTTTTCAAGAACACTAAATAAGAAATGGAGACAGAATTAGTTTTCAGTTTCACAGTTCTTGGCTTCCTGAGTTTATCTGGATCCCTTTAGATTTCTGGTTCTCTGCCACAGATCTCTGAACTCTTGTTGAAAATCAGAGATAGAGAAAACTCAGCCCAGTGATGCAGTCAAATGCTGATATAGCACTTGTGCCACATCTCCAATAACAGGATATTTGACCAGAGTTTTCAATAGAAAACCCTGCTTGCAACATGGATGAGATCATGCTAAAAGTAGGTCAATATGTCCCACAAAGCTTTTGTTGAATGCCCTTGTCTGTTTTGTAAGCTTCCCATCATATTTAATTTTCTATTCATAACAGCAGAAAAGTTTATTGCAGCTCACTTGAGGATGAAACAGTGTGTGTATCTGCTTACAAAATTATTTGAGATACGCATTAAGGACTGTATTGGATTTTACTTTCCCCATGTCATCTTAAACATGCAGTTAGCAGAAGGCAGCAAAATAACTATGGGCATGTTGTCCATAGGGTCAGAAACTAATCCGACACACAGATCTCACAGACTTCTCATTATTTCTCACCCATGCCTTAAAGATGCAGGTAACCTCTGAAGCAGCATACTACACAATTTCTGTGCATGTGTGTATACATGTGCACATGGATATGAAAAATGAAAGCAGGTGCCATTTATTCTTCTAACACCTGCAACAACAATATGCTGAGCTGTCATCCTGTCATCGGGGGGCTGCCTCAAAAATGCCAGTGGGTACTAGAGATGGTCCAATGCCTACCAGTCGACCCAGTACTAAAAAACCAAGGTGTTTATCTTGAGGGTTACAAATTTGCTAGCATCACTGCAAAATTGTTGATGGTTTTATTCATGAAAGACACAAAAGCTTGTCCTGCCTACTCCCACGCCAGCATTATCAGTCAAGCTTGGATTCTCATAGACAAGCCAAACCACAAACATGCTTTTTAATTGTCTCCTGGTTCTAGGGGACATTTCCTTAGAACTGGAAAGGCTTGCTGAAGTTTCTAATCTGAAACCTTATCATAGGACAGGATCTCCACTGGCCAATATTCACTCAGTTAAAAAACCCAAAAAAACTCCAAGGAAAAAAATCCAATTACCCTAGACAGTTTAATTGCATTGCTGAACTTGGCTCCAACTTATCTTTCTTATTGTTTTAAAACCACAACTGCTTATGCCATAATTGACAGACAGTGTGAGCTACCATTTCCCATCTTTGAATCACTGGAGCTGGTCAATGTACTGCCCAAGGTAGGGATCCAAAGAGATGATTTGAATGCCTAGGAATCTTCCTCATGTGCAAAGGATTGCATTTTTTGCTGATAGTAGAAACCACTCATGCTCCACTGAATGCTGCTCTAGACTATGCAATCAGGCAAGTTTAGATTCTGGATGTAAATAACTAGCTCTCTTTAGACAGTAATGTGTATTACTTCACATATTTCTAATTGTGGTGAGACAGCCCAGTTATATTTGGGAACCCTCCTGATTATTCATAAGCAGACTTGGTGCACATGTGGAAGCAGCTTTGCAGTTCTCTGGGTTCCAGCTGCAATCTCCAAGATTGAAAGCGAACCTCAGAATTAACTATACCTGTGTATTGCATTTGGAAAAGGTAGGGCATATAGGATTTCAATGGCTGTTCCAGAACCGCAAAGTCTTTGGGAAACAGTACAGTGTAAGCATTTTGTTGTAGCCAGGGTTAAACTGGCTGGCTAAACTTGAGCTGGCGAATAGCCTGAATGTTTGAAAGGTTACAGGGTCTTACCAACACAAAATGTAGGAGAACAGTAACACAAGTGTAAAATCTAATCTAGTTTCAAAATGAAATGCAAGTCTTGAACAAAGTTCAGCCAAATGCTTTTAGTATGAAAGAGTACATATAACAGCAAAAAATGAGACTTTAGACCTTGTTTAAAGGTCAACAATGTACCTGCAATGAAACTCCAGTAGCAATCAAAAATTAGTTCTCTTTTAAAAACAAAAACTTTCTATTGAATAATATGGTTGCTGGTACATGGAAATGCATTATTTTCCGCAGCAATATACTGCATGATTAGAGCTGAAAACATTTACGTACATCCTTCTAGTTTAAACTACATTTTTCAGACTGGAGTGTTATAATCAGATTAGTGTGTTTTGGGTATATATGTTTATTGCTTGCCTGGAATGAGTTTTGCTTATGAAATGTCCATTCAGCTTCTGAAGGGCACAACAGCTGACACTGACTGGAGAAGACCAAATAATCCACAAAACCCAGTTACCTGGTGATAACAAACAATAGCACTGATGTAGTTAACTGCATTTTTCAAAATGCTTCATGTACTTTATAGAAGGGGTGGAGAACCTGTGGCCGCCAAGAAGTTCCTGGACTCCAACTTCCAACAGTCTCAGCCAGCATGCCCAATGGTCAGGGATGATGGAAGTGGCAGTCAAATGACATCTGAAGGACCACAGCCCCCACCCCCCCATCCATGTCTTATAAGATTGTAAGGATTACCTACACAATGCAACAAAAAACAACAAGGAAAGCAGCAGTTATCAGTTACCAGCCTCTGAAGCCACAGCAAATGCTGTGATTCTCTAGCCGTTTGACTTAGCCCCTGCAGGTGCAGGACATTGTCTTTTGAGACAGATTCATACCAACAATTTTTTTTACAAATATAGTGGTGGGGATTTAGTAGTTTGCATAAAGCAATCTAACAAATTCACTGCAGGAGCAGGATTCCAAGAAGCAATGGGCACACTCTGCTTAGTTCAATTCAAAATGAGCTCAGTTATTTAAGAGCTTTCTTGAAGGATTCTTAGAAGAAGAAGAAAGCTTATCTCTTTTCTGAGAGTTCTCTTGTGGCTTGCAGCCAAGAAGTCTTGCTCATTCATTTTTTTTGGGTGCAAGGATACATTAATCGCAGCCAAGACTTAGCTGTAAAGTCCCCCACCTCATATAACTGATAAGAACGCTTCCCTAGCCCCATTCATAGTTTAACTACAATCACATGGACAAAAGTAAAAGAACATTTTACTGCTGAGGGCCATATTGCCTTAGGATTAATCTGTCAGGGGCTGTATGTGGTCAGAGAGTCATGGAGGGCTGCACTTTGCCCCCTGGGGGTCCCCACCCCTGAACAAGTTGCTGTAAAAAGCTATTCCAAGTATGCCAACCAAAGAGCAAATTACTAAGAGTTAATAACCACCTTGAAGGTATCAGTGCAACGCACTACAGCCACGCGGAACAAGCAAGTCTAAAATTAAAGTGATGAAATTCAACACAAACACTCATACCCTTTCTGCCATCTACTTTTCTGGCCATCTTGTCACGGCAGGAGGGTTCAGGCACACTGGCAAGGTTCCGCAGAATAGCTCAAGAACAACAAGCATCATGCAATGGGACAGGTAGCAAATCCACCAAGGTTCCTGCCTCCTCTGAGCAATTTTAGTTTCCCCCTCCCCTGCTTCTAATGAAAATCAACTCGTGGCATTTCTAAAGAAGGTGCCATTCAGAACTTTGAGGCTACGGATGTCAGACTTCATTTGCTTCACTTGACAAAACTGTGCCCTGCCTGCAGCTCCAGTCTGAGAAAACCGGCAGCCCAGCTGATGGCTGGGAAGGAGGAGTGGTGCAACACATCCATCAAGCTAGGAAGGCAAAGCAATGTTACTTTCACTTAAAATCAGCTTGCACTGGCATTTATCTGCACCAGCCGCTTTGTCTGCAATATACACTTCCCCCCAGTGCGCTAGGAGGAGCCTACGAAGCAAAGGAAGACAGAAGTCAGGAAGAGGGTCTGCAACATCAATATTACAAGATGCAATTTATTGGAGGGTGGGAGAAGTCCCCACGTAACCTAGCAACAAAAACTACAGCTCCCGTATAATTCCCACTGCCGAGGCAGCCTGCACAGCGGCAAAGCAGCCATCTTTGGTGTGTAACTTAGCGGGAGATTTCATCATTCCGCGCTGAAGTCACCTCCAGATGTTCGCGGTTCACAGCAGTCCCTGCCAGCGCAGCAACTTCACACGAAAACCTGTTCTCCGCAGTGACACATTTCTCTTAGCCGAGCCCGGACAGCCTCCTCGACGGCTTTACCCTTTCTTTTCCTAATGCAACTGCAGCAAACGAGGTTCCTGGGGAGAATGGCCGCGTCTTTTCCCTTCCTAACAACGTGGCCGTGGGAGATTATTAATTGTAAAAGCGCACACACCTTAACCCCGTCTACCTCATTCTCAAAGTATTTATGAGGTCCATTTAACGCAAATTCAGGCAGCTGGAAGAAGGGAGAAAGCGATCAGTACCCAAACGAACGTCTCTTTCTCTTATTTATTCTTTTTTTAAAAAACTAAACCAATATTTTTAGATCCATCTACTGGGAACCCACACATAACCGAAAGGGACATTTTGGCTTAGTCGCTGAGCTCACTGAATAGATGCACACGGTATGCAGGAGGACAGGAAAAGTGGGTTAACTAAACGGGCATTGCGATGCCACATTGCATCAAGGGTGCCAACTTGAATAAAATATTGGGGGGCCCAGGTAAGCCCCGCCCCGCATCATCGATCACAAGACACGGCGCACGCGTACCGTTTGAGTGGAAATGCCCATCAACCGGGGGGGGGCACTCAAATATTTTATTGGGAGGCCGAAGGGACCTTGGCTCCTATGTATTGTATTTTGGGGGAGAGGCTACTATCGTAGGCAAATGCACCCTGGGGGAAGAGGATGCCTCTAGCGCGCTCGAGAGACGGGCACCGGGGAGAAAGGGAGGCGTAGCTCTCGGTCATCTGCAGAGACGCAGTAGCTGCGGGGCGCCAAGCCGGCCTCCCTCCCTGCACCCGCTCCGGGGGATGGAGAGCGAGGAGGGTCACCCCCCACTTTGGGGCTGCTGGCTGGGTGAAGCGCCGTCGAAGGAGCGCCTACCTCCTGAGCGGCCAGGGATGGGGAGAGAGAGGTGCTTCTGGTTGCTGCCCAGGGTTACTCACGGCGCCCGCTGCGCGCCCCGCTCCACGGCTGCCTCCCGCACGTCCGCGCCGGCTCCAGTCCGATAGGCGCGCCAAAGCCCGCCGGAAGAAATTCAGGAGGCAGCGAGCGAGCGGCGGCGGCTGCAGAGCGGGCCAAGCCGGGGTGGGAGGGGCGAGCAGCGTCCGGACCGCCCCCTCGGGAGGGAAGGGAAAGGAAGAGGAGGGCGCGCCAGGGGAGGAGGAGAAGGGCGGCGAGGCGGCGCCGTGGCGGAGGGCTGCCTTCGCTCGCTCCAGGCACCCGGGCCGCGAGGGAGAGCCGAAAGGTGACGCGTTGCCCGCCTCTGCGGTGCTCCGCATGTGGGGAGGAGGGGCGGAATGGAGCCCGCAAGCCCCACCCCCGGCCGGGATTTTAGCTGAATCAGCCCCCCCGCCGCGCCCGGCTTCTTAGAAAAACATGTGAGGGCAGCACTCTGCCCGGTGTTTGGAGTGGGCTAGGGGATCGGCAGGCTTCTCCATGGCAGCTTGGGCCTCAACGTGCCCCGCCCGCTTTCTCTTTCCTATTTAACGCGGACTTACCCTTCCAGCAGTAAATCATGGGATTGTGGAGTTGGAAGGGACGCTTAGGATCATCTAGCTCAACTCCCTGCAATTTCAGGAATATGCAGCTGTTCCATATGGGGATCGAACCTGCAACCTTGGCATTACCAGCGCCATGCTCGATAACGTCTAACCAACTGAGCTATGCGCTGACAAATATGTTGCCAGTGTTTGAGATGTCTCCGTCATGGCTCGTTTTCAGATTAAATTCCCGTTGGGAAGTGCTCCTGTTTTCGTCCGGAAGCTGTTTCCGGCAAGGGCATCTTTTAAGTGTAAAAAGTTACAAATGACTTCAATTGTAGTCATTTGTAACTTTTTTACACTTAAAAATAAATAAATCAGAGTGTCTTCTGTTCACAGGGGATACATAAGAAATTATTGAGCTGATTTTCACAATCCTATTTGAGGCCAACGGAGTGAATAGCTTCATAGCAACATTGGGATTATTGCTTTCTTTGCTGAGGCATTAAGTAGCCTGGAGATAGTCCGATGAAAACGACAAAGGGAAAGTCAGGACAAAAATGAGTATGTCACAGTCTTGCATAAGCTCATCTCTTCTTTTGTAACTAGTTGAAAAGGTGACGACCCTGTTAAAGCTAAACAAGTGTGTGCTGAGCTTGCAGGTTTCGGTTTAAATGCTGCTTAACTCTGCCGAATTTATAGTAAATCAGAAAACCAGCGCTGCTGACCTAAGCACCCTGGAATCACACTGAAGATTGCAATGGAATTTGCTTTTAAGTGTTAAGGTATAAGGCAATATACACATTCACTTACCAGGCCTGTGGTTTGATATGTGTGTGAAAGGCCACATTTTCAGGGGTATCTGAGTAAGGAGATGCTGAATAACAACTCTGGGATGCAGGCCTGCCGTTTGCGTTTATATCTCTTTAGAACTACAGCCTCCCTGGCCATTGTAGCTAACATCCATTTCTTCAAGATGACTGACTCATGCATATAAGCCCTGGCATTTCAAATAAACTATCTGAAAACTCCATTAAGAACATAAGACAAGCCCTTCTGGCACAGACGAAAGGCACAACATCTTGATTTCACAGTGACCAACCAGATGCCTATTGGAAGCCCGCAAGCAGAGCTGGCACCATTCTCCTCACCTGTGATTCATAGCAACTGGTATTCAGAAGCATACTGTCTCTGACATAACCACCCACGCTGAGTCTGTCAGCCATAGACTGAGCAATCTCCTTTTCCATTATTCTCTTACTTTCATCTCCTTGTTTAAATAAGGGCTAACTAAGACTGCCTTGCTGCCTGCGTGAACTTCATCTTAATTGGCCCAGTAGGTCTCCCTGCCACTCATAGCCACCTAGATCAGAATCAGCAACCTTTTTTCAGCTGTGGCCCGGTCCCTCAGACCATGTGGTGGGCAGACTATATTTTGAAAAAAATAATAATGAGTGAATTCCTGGGCCCCACAAATAACCCAGAGATGCATTTTAAATAAAAGCACACATTCTACTCATGTAAAAACACTAGGCAGGCCCCACAAATAACCCAGAGGTGCATTTTAAATAAAAGGACACATTCTACTCATGTAAAAACCACACTGATTCCCCGACTGTCCGCAGGCCAGATTGGGAAGGCGATTGGGCTGCATCCGGCCCATGGGCCTTAGGTTGCCTACCCCTGGGCTAGATTAAACTTCCTAAATATGAAATCTTGTACCCTGAGTCCAGTAGTGGATGGCATGGTGAAGGGCCACTGCTCACCTGACAGTGAGTTGTGGCGCTGCTGCTAACCAGGAGGGGGAGGTTGGTGGGGAGATTGGCATGGTACACACACCCTAACTGGAGCACCAAACTGGCTCCACCGGTTGCTGCACACCACTCTCGCTGATTCCTCGCCCTGGCTGTTACCTCCCAGTAAGCAGCAGGTGAATGGCTGCACTCCATCATGCTGTTCCCTCCTGGCCTATTCATTTGCACCTCTAAACCATCTCAAGAGCCAGTATATAACCTGTTCAACAGTTTATTTTGATCTCAGACACAAATAATCAAATAAATATAATGAAACAGCAGCAATTTCCTTGTTAATTTTTCTGGCAATAAAAAGTGAGGTGCTGCTACAAGGTAGAGTGGATGGGGATATTCACCTTCCTTTCTAGGAGCATGGGATGAGGCAAAAGCTGGGAGATGGATTTACAACTGCTGCTGCTTGTAGTGGCTGTCAGAACCAGAGGCTACTACAGGTTCAAGGAGACTTCTCTGTATGCCCCCCCCATGAAAGATGGTAACGTGACCATACACATGTTTTCTTACATAGTAAGTGAGTGCATACAAGTCTAACCCAACAGCAGTATTAATAACGCAAATCTAAACCCACAGACCTTGTTTGTCTGCACCTACCTTTAAGAAGGGCTTTGTTCTTTAAAGCAAAGGAAATCAAGTTGGAAGGCAGGAGTGGAGGATCTACAATGAGATTCATTTGCCATGGAGAATTCAACCCAGCAATTGCCTGAACACCTTAAGAAATAAGATTGTTTACATACACTAACTTGAGATGAAATCCAATGAGCTGTCACAACTAGCAAGTTAGCTTACTGAATGTTTTACACCTCAGGTTAAGTACTTAATTCATTCTGGAGGTCCGTTGTTAACCTGGAAAACTGTTCTTAACCTGAAGCACCACTTTAGCTAATGGGGCCTCCTGCTGCTGCTGTGCTGCCGGAGGCACGATTTCTGTTCTCATCCTGAAGCAAAGTTCTTAACCCGAGGTACTATTTATGGGTTAGCAGAGTCTGTAAACCTGAAGCGTATGTAACCTGACGCGTATGTAACCCGAGGTACCACTGTAGTTGCAGTGAACGGCAGCATATCACAAACGGTTTGTTCACAGTTACTAGATCTATCCTGTAAGTGGCACTACAGGACTAGGTTTTAACAGCAACTCAAAATGACAGATGAAAAGTATTTTGCTTTTATTGAAAGCCTGTATCATATATATAGAATGTTACTAGGGAATTGGTTGAGTTTTCTGGTAATAAACTGTGGGAATACTTTGTTTCCTTTGTTTGCAGTCATGAAAGATTAGAAGTGGCACAATGCACTAATGGATATCCCTCCAGTGAAAAGCATTGCTAAATATTGTAGCTCAGTTCTACTTTGAGTTTAGTAGTTTGGATGTTCAGGCCAATATAAGTTTAGTTCCCATTCAGCATTTGAACTGATTCTGTTTTGGTTCATGTTACAAAATATACGTATGATTCATATTACATTGTTGATTTCTATATTTCTACTCTAATGGAGCTATAGTTTCTCTTAGATATGTAACATAGATAACAGGAAAAAGATGAATAGTAAATGGGTATGTATGTATTATAAATTGCATATATAAAACACTAGCAGCCTCGTACCTGGTGTTGTTCGGGAATTCTAAGACCAAAAAAAATCAGTGCAGTTTTGGAATCAGTGGTAAAGATCAGTGTAGTTTTGAAAGGTTTGATCCACCATCTTGATTCAAAATGGAGTCCAATTGTGCCCAAACATAGATGGATTCTTGCTCCTTGATTTCAGGAACCATAATGCAAAATTATTATTCTACTTATTTACTTACTTAGTTGCTTTTTTCAGAAAGGTGAACCCAAAGTGACTGACAAAAACAAAACAAATTTGCTTACGATCTGTTCTGAGGTGTCTAAATGCATATTAAATGGACAAGCAGCTTTCCAAAATATGTAGTAGATGCAGGAAAATAATAAAAAGAGGAAGACGCGCCTAAAAAACGGTTATGGAAGCACATATCACAAATCCTGCCTTATATGCAATGTGAGACCATTGGTTAGGATCTGAATCAATTTACAAGGAAACGGATTTAGACTTAGGAAGTACTTCCTGACAGTATGAGGTGTTTGATTATGGAACACACTGCCTCAAAAGGTAGTGGTCTGCCCTATTTTAGAGGTTTTTAATCAGAAGCAGGATGGTCACATATCAGGTAGCCATGGGTTTCCTGGCTTGTTTGGGGCTAGACCCTTGAGACCCCTTCCAACACTGTGATTCTATTATGTCACTGTGTTCCATGAGGCTTACTTCTAGATAAACTAAGGAGCCACATGACTGCAGCCCCAGTGATGAAAATGATAGGAAAATTGAGAGAATTCATCTAAAAGAAATTCTCAGGGGGTTCATTGCTAAGAAATGGACAATCTGCAGCTACTGCCTACTACCGCCTGAATGCTCACCCCTGCATTTGCTTATGGAAAATTTCAAAGACAAGCTGATTTTGCCCCGTGGGCTGCTCACTCATTGTCACTCTAGGATGAGATTTTAAAACACACAGAGATTGTCAGCCCAGCAGCGCAGACACATTTCAAAATGGCTTTGAGGAACTGCAAGTGAAGATAAGTCTTCAACTCCTTAGGGGAATGACTAAGGTCTTTGAGAAAGCTCAAGGAAAACTACAAATTGCTACAGTTTCCAGGGAGGGGGTTGGTTGGTTTGCTTCAGCAATAGCAATAAAGAGTCCCATGACACCTTAAAGACTCCTAAAGGCAGGGAAGGAGAGGAATTCCCACCGTGCATTGCATGCAGCCCATAATTTACTTTCTGAAACCTTCCTACTAATGTCTCAGCAGACACCAGACAAGTAGCAAAAAAATAAATTGGTTTTAAAACTGCATGTTTATAATCTTCTTATAGCCCAGGGCCCAGGAGATGGGCATGCACATAGCAGTTCATAGGA